ATTGGAGGCAATCAGCGGATCAGCCTTATATAAGGGCGGGTCGAATAGATTGGTCTGCTGCGAAAGCAGCTCCTCCTTGACGTGCACAGGCGAAGCGTGTTCGCTCTTCACATGTTGTTGTTGTTGCTGCTGTTGTTGTTGTTGTTGCGATTGTTGTTGCTGTTGCACCCGCAGCGGCGGTGACTGCTGCGGCGCTTGTTGCATGTCCATTGCGCATTCGAGCAGTGGCGGCGATCCGAGATCCAAGTCCATTTCATTTAAAAAGTTATTTAGCATTTCGGAGGGTATCATCTCCTTGATTATGTTGAGCGCATCCTCCTCCTCCTTCCACATGTCCATGGCACTGGACATAAACTCCATGTCCAAAGATGCTGGATCAATGTCCATGATCTTTATTCTTTCAGCTGACGTGTTGATTGAATGGATTTTCAGTTGACGCGGCTGATAAACAAAAACAAAACATAAATGCTCGACTTGTGTATACCCTGCTTATATTACTATCATTACATTATTTATGCGGCGAGTTACAAATTTGAGTATGTCTATGACACCCTATTTGTACATTTTCCGCTTATAGGGTATTTTATGCTGTAATCATTGTTTTGTTTATGAAATTTCAATTTCAAAGCGGCGCAATAAACACGCCGAAAACAAAAAACCAATAAACACACACACACACACATACGTGTGCGCACACACACACACGTTTGCAAGCGTGAAAAGCGCCTTTCGACCAATCAGAATGCGCGCGAGAATCATACGATGTGACGGCAACAGCGCCGATGTCACCGCCGCTTTCCAGTTAATTGATCAGTGGGCAATTAAAAAGCCTAAGCACATTGTAACTAGCCGCATATGTTAACTATTTCTAAAACTAGCACTTCACCAATTTTATTTAGCTGTTAAATAACCTACCTATCCGATAAGCACTATGTTGTTAGTTCAAAACACTATTGTGGTTTGTTGTTGGCCATAATTATATATGTATTGCAGTTTACACACGCAGATACGTTTGCAAGTGGGTTGCGCACATTATAGGTGTTTGTATGTTCCTTGTTTTCAATCAATAAACAAATTGTTGAAAAGCTTTACGAAATAAACAGTCGATCAAAGTCACACTAATAAGACCTTATTGCATTTATCGATTGATATCGATTAGAACGCAAATGAAAAGTGACCAGCTTTAAAAACACGAAAACACTTCATTTGGTGTTGCCACACGATCTATATATTTATCGATATGACAGAAGCAAATAAGTGTCAGAGTAAATAAAAAATTGTACAACACTAGCTATAGCTGCCATGTTTCACTTCCTGTGCTTGCGAACAAAATAGAATCGCCAAGAAAACCCTGCGAGTGAGTGTTTCAACATCACACTCGAAAATAACATCAAAGTGGTAGTTGAAAGAGTGCCACTACTCGAACCGCACTTATACCGACACCAACCAATAAATTGAAAGTAGCAGCCGAAAACTCAAGTCAAGAAAAAACAAAGTTGCGGCAACCAACAGCAGACGAAAGTTTTGCCGCACTCCGTCGACAAACAGCAGGAGAGGTTACTTTATTTATTCTTGCTTATATTTTTGGAAGCTCGAGTGTGTAGGTGTGTGTGCGCGTTTGAGGGAGAAGAACAACGAACGTAGCTAGAAAGATGGCAGACTCGGAAAAACAGCAGCAGCTACCCATTGAACAGCAGCAGCCGCTGGCCCAGGAAGAACAGCAGGATGAGGGGCAGCAAACGCAGGGCAAGCCCGCGCCGCCACCAAAGGAAATTATTGGTAAGCATACAAATCAATTCGCATTTTCATTCATGCAAACACATGGCTGCGACTGCTACCAAAATAGCGCAATGAAAGGAACGGCGCGCTATATGTGAAAAATGTGCGTGTTTATACGTATGTGTGTGTGTGTGTGCGTGTCTTAAAATATACGCGCGACGCCATTTTGTATGCTGCATATACATACATACATATTCATACATTCGCCGGCTCGACTGCTGCCGCATGTGAAAAGCGGAGCAAGAACGAAATGAAAATTCTACATTTTGCCGGTGGCACAGCCCACCCCCGCGGCCCCATCACGCGCCTGACCGAACAAATGCTGGCAACCCAATTTGTTAGTCGCCAACGTCGTTCCGGCTGTCAGCTCTCGCTCTCTGTCGGTGCGCGCACTCTCTTGCCTAAATGAGAGTGAGTTGTATGTGTGCATATGTGTATATATATATATATGCGTGTGTTTGTGTTCATTGTTTTGGTAACTTTATTTGTATACACTTTAGTTCGAGCACCCAGTAGAACTTTTTTGGTCCGTGAAATTAAGAGTGAATCTTTTTTATAAGGTTAAGTGAAATTACGTTTCCTTTCTTTAAAAAATCGATGCAACACGGATGTATATAAATGTAATTTATCGATTGAATAATTGTGACAACATTGTTTTGATTCGTTTCTAACCTCACAACTGTGACTGTCGTCCACCTTTCCAGCCACTAAAGTCACCGGCACTGTTAAATGGTTCAACGTGAAGAGCGGCTACGGCTTCATCAATCGCAACGACACCAAAGAGGACGTCTTTGTGCACCAGAGTGCCATAGCGCGCAACAATCCTAAGAAGGCGGTGCGTTCGGTCGGCGATGGCGAGCTTGTTGAATTCGATGTGGTAATTGGCGAGAAGGGCAACGAGGCGGCCAATGTAACTGGGCCTTCTGGTGAGCCGGTGCGAGGCAGTCAGTTTGCCGCTGACAAGCGTCGTAACTTCCGACCATGGATGAAGAAGAATCGCCGTAAGCAACCGGGCGAGGGTGACAACGAAGGCGACGAACTGGCGCCGGCACAACAGCAGCAGCAACAGCAGCTCGATGGCCAGCAGCAACAGCAGCAGATGCAATCTGGTCCACGTCAGCCACGTCAGAACTATCGTCGCGGACCCGGCGGCGGCCCTGGCGGTCCACCCGGTGGCCCACGCGGTGCTCCACGTGGCGGCGGCCCAGGCGGACCACCCGGTGGACCCGGACAACGTCGCTATAATAACTACTATCCGCGCCAGACGCGCCGTGTGCTCGGTGGCGGCGATGGCAGCGCTGAACCAGGCGTTCATGATCCCAATTCAGATGGTGTACAGCGAGGCGGCGATGGACAGCCGCGTCGTGGTGGCGGCGTTGGTGGACCTCAGCGACGCTTCTTCCGACGCAATGGACCACCGCCGCGTCGTGATGGTGGCGAGTACAGTAAGTTATCGCTACATAAATTTGCCAAGTCATGTGATAAAATAACAAATTCTCTTCCTTCTGTAGTTCAGGGCGGCCAAGGACCGCCGCGTCAGCCGTTCCGTCCACGTCGCCAGAATCGTAAACCCAATGGACCTGGCGGCGGCGGCATGGAGCAGCAGTCACAGCAGGTAATGAACTAAAAGCCAAACAAACAAACACCAACGATAACAACCACATCATCAAGAACAACAACAACACCATCTTTAACAATAACAACAACAACTAGCAGCACTGCAAGAACAACAAAAACAATAACAACAAGAACATGGCTTTCGGTGGCGGCAACTACAAACTAACGAAAAATGCATTCAATTGTGCTCATATAATTAACCATTAACAAACTCACACACTCACACACACACACACAATTTATAATTAGTTAACATAAGAGGCTTTGGTTCTTAACATTTCCCTTCAAGTGCATGTAACAGCGCGCCGCTGAATTAACGGTACACTTGTATCTGTACATAGATTTAACAGTGGGCTAACATCATGAGGCAACGAAATGTATTTAATTTAACGTCATAACCATTTAATGCAAAGTTGCAAACAATTTTGATTTGATTTTAATTATTTTGTTTCTCTTTATCACAATTTATTATTATTTCAATGTCTGACATAATGCCCAACCCGCCCTTCCCCCCCTCAACCTCTCATAGAACGGCGCTCAAGAGCTGCAAAATACAACAACAGAAAGCACCGCATAAAGAAAACTGCAGCAGCAACAATAACAACAACAACAACAAGAATAAAAATAATAATAGTCAAACATCAGAAACTACAACAAAAAGAACAGCAAAAGCAGCAACTACTGCATTATACAGAAACAACAACAGCAACAACAAATTGCAGTAGCATCAACAACAAGAATAACCAACAAGCAGAAGATGGAGGGAAAGAAAGCATCCATCTATAAATTTGTAAATGGGCCGCCGCGTATTTTATGTTTTGTTTTCATCTGGGGCAAGCGACAGGAAAACCAAAATGTAAAATTTACAAACGATAAACCAAAAATGGACAAAAAAAAAAAAATGCAAACAAAACACTTCAAATTCACTTCGAATGATATATTTGATAAAAACATATTTATGTGTGTGCATGGCAGAAAGTGCATAAATTTCAAATTGTATTATAAAATCAGCAAACACTAACAATAAACATCATAAAAATGCATATATATATTAGAGGCAAAACTGCATATATATATATATATATATAAATATATATATATACATATATATTTATACACATATTTATACAAAAAGAATTATTTGAACATTTATGAATTTGTAATTTTACATGAAAGTTTTGTTGTGCGTTTTTGCCAGCTTTCAATTTTAAGAGTTTCTCGTATCGAAGATGTTGACCTAAACCATATATTAAAACTAATTAATTCATTTATGCAACATACACACACACACACACTCATTGATAGGCCCTCAATGATACATCTAAAATACGTAAGCTCTCAATACTGAAAGTCAGATTTAATTGTAATAATTGATAGATTCAGATCAGGCGAAACTAATTTCAAATATGCCCCGCAAATGTACACGAACATCAAGCGAAAGCAGATGACAGAAACAATTTGTAATTCACAGCAAAGAAAAGTATATACAAAATGCAAAATGCAACAAAGAAAAACAAGAAAAAAAAAAACTAAAAAATATATTGGAAAAAATAAAAAAATTGAAAAATATCAAAAGCATTTCACAATCTATGGCTAGATAAGATTTCAATTATCTCTAGCTGTGTTCCATCAAGTCCCTTATCAATGTTGGCTTGATACATTCAATTTCATAGCTTTGTTAACCATCTTTCGTATCTGTCTGATACTAAAGTTTAAACAAAAGTATTGCATTCGTCTGGTTAACAACTGGCACAGATCTAACTAAAAATTAATTACATTTTATTAAGCGATTATTTAAGAAGGGGCTGAAAATTAATTTAATTCATTTAAATCTATTTAGACCATGTTCAGAATGGCTTAAAGTACTCAAGCCTTATAAGCTGGTTGTCAACGAGGTTACTGTGGATATGTTCAAGCGTTCCAAGCGTCCCAGTACTAGGAGCTCGTCAATCGAACGCTTCGCATAAAATTTCTGCTCTTCGCTTAATTTGAGGAATGCATGCGCCCAGGCGCGAGCATAGCTTTCGGCTTCGGATATCGCACTGGCGTCGATGTGAATGAGGCTTGCGGAATTCGGTCGGATTGTCTCCTTGACGAATTCCTGCGATACATCTTCAGTCACATGATCTATTTCGATGGCCTGCTCTTCGGTCATTTCGGGTGACCAGGCTTCGTCCTCGGAAAATAGCTTCAGTAGCGGTCGCTCATTGGATGCTTGCGTTGTTTCTGGGGATTCAATATGCTCAATCTGTTGGAATTGAAAACACGTTAGCTAAACCAACAGTCGATTGGCCTGCTCTGACACTTACCTCTGAATGTGCAGCAGCTGGAATGTCCACTTCCTCATATTCCTCTTCCTCATCGCTGTATTCAACAGTCTTTGGATCGTTGAGCTCCTCATACAGTTGCATTTGCCTCTTGCTTGCCGTCACCGGCAACCTTTGCAGCTTGCCGCTGCTGCTGCTGCTATTGTGTTGTGTCTTTGGCGACTCGGCAACTTTTCCGTGTTGCTTCAGATAGCGTACATGGCATTTGTGTATGCGCAGATTGGATGTAGTGCCTCCAGTTGATTGCATTACCCGCTTGCAGCCCAAGCAATAGTATCTCCATTTTAGCTTGGTGCCATCCGGACGGGCGATTTCTCTGTACACATTCCAAACGGAGCTGCGTTTGTTCTTTTTCACTAGCCGGTACTGGCCGTCATGGATTTTAAGTAATATATCCAGTTGGGATTCTGTGCATTTTGCCTCCTCTTCCTGAACATTTATAATAAACATTGCTTGTTTTACGGGCTTTGCCATTGCGTGCGATTCAGTGTGGCTGTTACTGGCAATCGCAAAAATACGCAAAGCCAAAAAAAAATACTAAAATACCAAAGGAAAAGTGGGTTGGCGCGGACGTGGGAAAATGCGTTAAATAGCCCAACTCTACAATCCCAAACATTTAAGGTATTTATATTTATGCTATAATTAAAAGCTTAGATTAAAAAAAAATAAAATAAAATTATATAGAATATGATAATACAGATTTCGAGGCAGTCATTTCATTTATTAGATAGACATTGTACAGCACTTATTAATAAGCTTAAAATATTCTAGCAAACCAACAATATAAATACTTTTTTCAACGTTCGATTTTTATTATACTATTTTGCATTTCTAAGCAACTCAATTAATGTTTGACCAATCGATGTTAGTTCTCTGGATATATGCTTCATGACCTGTAGTTTTTCTTTTTCGACAGCCAACTTCTGTTCCTCGATATGCATCATTCGTTCTGTTGGCTCTCCTCTTGGTGTACTATAAAAATCATCCCTATGAGATCTGGGTAATACCGCTGGGGTCTGTTCTACATTTTTATCTACGCGTTCTTCTTCCTCTGGTACTTGCTCAGGCTCTGCAGCTGGAGCTGTCTCCTGCTCCGGCTCCCTGTCCTCAGCTGACATATTGTTGACTTCGGGCTCTGCATCGCTGCTGTCCGCATTGAAAAATGTTGAAGACTCTGTGTTTGGAAGTTTTAATAATGAATGAATGTCAAATCTGCGTCCAAGTTTTATTACCAGTATTATCAAAAATGATTTCTTCAAAATCAACAGACGGCGTTCCAACCAATAGAGCTTGAACTCTTTTAAAATACCGCCAATTCGTAGGTTTTCCGGACTTAATCTTTTTCATTTCCAACCTGAAATAAAGAGGCAATGTTGCAATTATGGTAAACTAGTTTAAACAAACATGATGTTAACCTGTATTTTCTAGACATGTTGTCCATTTTTGTTTTGATTTCCCGGTGAGTTGGTCCATATTCGCTCATTTCCTCGGCCATTTCTTTGTGTATGAGTGATTTTTTTAGCGGCCCTCGTATGTCCTTTAAGTGCTTTTCCCATAAGTCCAGGAATATGTTGGTCGATTTCGGTGACCATTCAAACCGACTGAGACTGTCTAGCCTAGGGCATGCAACTATCGCCTCATCTTCCAGAAATAAATTACGTTCCTCTTCATGCAGCGAGGCTCTGTCTTCATCTTCCTCCTCAGAGGAAAGAGGAATATCTTTGTATATGATCTGTCGCTTGTCATGCAAAGCGTCCTGTACTGTTGTACTGTGAAGTGAGGAAACGTTCTTTTTTGGTGAACAGGAATCTTCGGAAAACAGCTGGAGCAGCGGGCGGACCGTGGATGCAATCGACTGGAATGCGCGTTCCTGATTGTCGGCTTGATCCCGCTGTAAGGACAAGGTTTTAGTTTTTAATTGCTATGCATCGGAAGTGGGAGCATGCCTCGGGTTCCGTCAGATATTCCATGTCACTCATTGCGGACAGATCGTCTTCCTGATATTCATGTTGAGGCGAAAAGTTTTGCGACGCTCTACCTCTTAACTTTGTTTGGATGAAACGTTTGTTGGACTGCCTTTGGGTTGTCGATAAGCCGGCTTTGCCTATTATTTGTAGTTTCTTGTTGTTGTTGATAACTCGATAGCGTTGGACGGTCTGCTGCCCATTGTTGGATCTCATTATGCCGAGGAAATTAATATTGTTTTTGTTTGTTGAATTTACTACAAGCCCGCAGCTGCTGGTTTTATTTTGGTACTTTACAACACTTATGCATGTCGTTTGAAGCACTTTCGATAACATTTCGATAAAGTTCAGTTTCCTGAAAACGGCAATAACTGGTTCCGATTCGATAAACAGCATTTGGCGCGTTACTGAATTTAAAATGTGCATTGATCATGCAGAGTATTTAATCGCGTTCTTTTCACATCATAACTTTACAATTTGGCAGTATTCTATTTCAATTTAAGTCATATAACTCTTTAAATGAGTTTTGGTTTTGTAAGTAGGGCAAGACAAGTAACTACATACGTATGCTGTTTAGTTGATCTAAATAAATTACTGACATCTTCAATTGTCATCGAGTCTATGAAGATTCGCACGCATTTCAGCTAATCAGCTACATTTGGGGTTGGCTGAAAAAGAGGTGCACAAGAAAAACGGACGACAACAATCAACGACAATTGCGCTACGATTATGTCTAATGGATGGCTGTGCCATCTTTTAGAGAATTGAACAGCCGAACCCCAAGGCCTGTGTTTGTTTCACCAGCTTCAAGCGCTGCCTGACCGAGAACTGACAGCGACTTGCAGGCCGTCAGCAAGCCTAATTGTGCATTGCCTCTGGAAGCACCCTGCAACCGGTTTTTGCAAGAGCTTCTGAGCTGGGGCTCCCTGCTGTTGTGCCCCTTCGATTTTGGCCGGCTGCAAAGGTTTGGCTCGTGCTTGCACGCAGCTGCTTTTGGGCCAAAACCTTAACACTTAAATTGTCACTTAATCGAAAAATTAAAGGTTTATTGGAGGCCACAGGTGCTAAATTTTATGGCACGTGGCTGATTTGATATAAAACCAGCTGCTGGTTTCTCAATCGAGACATGTTTGTGCAAGCCTGGATGCGCTCTCTGCTGCTATTCACAAGACTTAATTGTTTCTTGCGGTTGTTGGCAGTTTTTTTCTTTTTCGGACGGTTTGTTTTGCTGTTGTCTCAGCCACATTAGTTGGGGGGGGGGCATGTGGAAGACACAACAGCCATGACTTTGTGCAACTGGCAACTGGCAGCTTGATTATGGCCCATGCATTGGCATCATTATGGCGCTGGCGAGACCTTATTTGTTTGGCGCATAATTTAAGTTAAAGCCTCGTCGTACAAATGTCGCGTCATTGTTGCCTACGCGCTTGCATGCAGCATGTTGCTGATGGCCGTGCCCCGGCCCGGACTGGCCCGGGACTGCAACCTCTGCTGCCTGCTGGCGCTTGATTGCAGGTTGTCATGAGCTCATCCAAAGCTCCGCTTGGTCTTCCGCCTGTCGCTGCTGACATGTTGCATATGCCACAGGCAGCGCATGGGCATGTCTCTCAATTGCATTTATGTTTGCCATGTCCCTTTTTGACGTGGGTCGCTTGTATTGCTTGTGCTTTAATTTACTGTTTTTGCACTGCTACATTTAGCTATCGTACGATTAGTACTCGCTCGTGTCACGCGACCAACTCCAAGTTGAATGCACATCTCTAGCTGTAAAGCGCATCTACTGCCCACCTTATGCAAACGTTGCTTTTTCGGCCTGTGTGTGGGTGGCAACACTAGATAAGATATGTTTACTTAAGCCCAACAAAATCTACATAAATGTGGCACAGCTGAAACGTTCCCAAACCAGCTCAGGCCTTTGCGGGCGCAGTTTCTATTGCATATGCTGCATATGACATTATTGTTATTTGGGAATAGATGGCATAGAACATCTGATAAAGAACAAAGTAAGGTTTAAAACATTGCTATAAATACTCTCTTGAATGTATTAAAAAAACGAACATAACGCACTTTTGTAAAACAAATAATTTGTTAACCGTTATCAATACATTCAATCTAACTGTGAAAATCATTAAATGGCCAGAGAGTGCCAACAACTCTTGTAAGGTCAAGCAGATAAAGACTCGGCTGAGCACAAAAATCAGCTGCTAATGCTCTCCGAATGGGCAGATTGAACTCTGAAACTAATTTGATTTGACGCAAGGCAATTTACGGCTGCCTCGAATGGAGCGGTACGTCAGGGGGGTTGGGGCTTATCTGGGCGGCTATGCGCGCTTCTAACAATTCGGGGCCATCAAATTAATTACGTACTCGTCCAAAGAGAAGAAACGGTAGCTGTAAAAAGTTAATGAGCTGAGCGGAGTGGGCACAAAACGTAAGCGAAGAACGAGAAATGGAAACGACAACAGCAACAAGAACAACCAGAAGTCAAAACAAAAACAAAAACAAAGAACGCATCGTGATCGAAAAGCGCGTTTGTTTTGATTATGTGACAAACAAAGCAGAAGAAGAAAGAAAAACGACAAAACGACAAAGAGAAAAAGAATTAAAAAAAAAAACCGACGCCGTTGGCTTTTAATTTAAAAAGTTGCTGGCAAAGCAGCATAAAACGTGCAGCGCACGAACAATAGAAAGAGAGAGAGCGAGAAAGAGAGAGGAAGAGAGGCCGATCGCTGGACAAGAGAGACGCAAAAGAGGTAGATCGGCGTAACAAGCGCAACAAGCAAACACACACACACATTTGCCACATGTGGCAGGCAGTTAAATCAAACAAACTGGTTTTACACTCCCACACATACAAACACAGAGAGGGAGAGAGAGAGAGAGAGAGAGAGAAAAAGAGAGCGTGCGTTTGTATCAGCTCACGCGCTCAAAGTTTGAAGCTCAGCTCCGGTTCAGGTTCAGTCGCCGTTTCAGGCTCGTTCGTTTTTGACGCGCTCGTCGTGGCATATTTTGTGCAATTTTTTCCGTTTTTTGTGACTTTGACAATCTATTAAAATCTATAAAACATTCAAAGTGAATAGCAACTGTCTATTTAAAGTGAATTTACTCTGCCAATGTCTACTCCACGTGCTTCTAAACAAGTTTTAAAGTGTTGTTTTTAACAAAATAGAATAGCTGTAAATAATTGTTTAAGTGAAACCTTTTGGATTTTTTTCTAAGATATCATCGGCATATCAAGAGTTACCACAATACAGTACAGGAATTACGATAGGTAAGTAAAAAGCATGTGTATATAGTATGTGGATTTTTATGCTCCATTTTTCCAATTCATCTAAAAAAGAAACCGAAATCTTTATAAGCATTACAAACCTGACCTAGGCAACATTATCTATTCAAGGCACGTACATACATATATTATTACACTTATATTAAGAACCTATTATAATCTTGTACAGTTTGTTTCCTTATCATAAAAGATCTTTGACTCTATCAGCCCATAGATAAGCCCGTCGAGCTCGAAAGTTAAGATTGAAAGTATATCTAATTAACATTTCGACTTGCAACTTGATTCGCATATTTCCACCTAAATTGACGGCAATTGATTGCATTAGTTCGATAACTCTCTTAAGCTTTATCCTTTCTTTTCGCAGTCTCCGAGTGGGCTTCATTTGTTATTGAGCTGCGGCACGAGCGTAAAAGTGGGCTATATTAATAGGTAGAGGCGTTTAGCCTGGCATCATCTTTGGGATCGCGCAGCTGGCCCAATCTCATGGGCTACGTTATATTCAGATTCGTGACCAGTTTGCGTGCTGGCCAAAGCGAGTGGGTCGCTTGGAAACCTTCGGTGCACTTTTTGCCATTATAATTGTTCGATTGATAAGTCAGACTCTCGGGCCATGTTGCTCCAATTTATATTTACGCCTTGAAGTTTCCGCCTCTTGCAAAAGCAATGCAATAAAATATTTACCACTGCCAAGCTGGGAATCCAGCACCCACGCCCAGCGCACCCAGCTTCCACTTCCAATCGACATTGCCCTCGACAGTCGCATAATTCTCGGACTTAATTGATTACGCCGGGTCCGAGTGCAAAGCCGTGTCCGGCCGGGATGTGGGTGGTTAGTTTCTCCGTTGATAAAATAACTATAAAATATCTTAAGTTTATGTTCAAATTTCACCTATAAATAAGCCGCAGCTCCAGCCTAAATCTCTGCTCTGATAAAAGTGTTATCTATAGTACACAATGGGCTTTCACCTATCGGGTTAAACGTGGTGTCAAGTGCATGTGTACTACAAAATTGCTTGATAACGAGTAGTTTTAAATTGTGCAGTTGAATCATCGGGCAGATAATGCATACGCTTCCTGGAAGTTGTATAAAATGCATTCAAGAAACTGATTTAACGACTATAAAATAATCACATTGAATATATATAATTATAAGTAATAATAATTACTTGCTAGATTAATAATAATAATTTCGTATTACATTAGTGAGTCATTGTCAAGGCTGCGAATCGGTTCTGAACCGAACCAGCTCGAACTCGAACTCGAACCAGACCCAACCAAAACATTTCTCCAACTAAGAAACTGAAAAAGTACTCGAACTGGAAGTTTAGCAAAACAGACAATTTGTAGCTTTTGTTAGAATGCAAAAGAATTTTCAAAAGCCCGCTTCGCATACTTATTATAAAATCAATAAATATTTAGGATTTTCATGGTATTCAGTCAGAGCTACTGCTGCAGCTAAACATTCCTTTGAGCACATAAAAGAAAGACCATTTACAATGATTGTTGTTTGCGTCAGTCCAAGATGCAGTTCCATCTACAAGCAGCTTGTCGCTTCTCGAATAGATGCTAGACTATGTCTTGTAGAGTGGCATTGGATCGCAACGCCATCGCTTGTCACTAAATTGACCCATTTCAGAGCTTAAGGCGATGCCAAACGAAACGAAACGAAACGAAAAAAAAAACCCGACTGACGACTCAGACAAAGCCTAGAATCTGCCCCTGCACCTGGCCCCCCCCCTGTCAGCTTACGAACCAGTTGCAAGTCGAGTGCATGTTGTACATGGCACATGCCCGAAACTGAAATTGTTGGCTTTCCTTGGCCGCCAACTTTTGGCTGGCACTGTGCGAGCTGTGATCCGTATGTGTCTGTGTCCGAAGTCGCCGACCACATTACATTCTTATCTAAATATGCACATTTCTTCTTTGTGCTTCTGGGTCTTGTCTTGCCTTCTGGGTACGACCCTCTCTCTGCCAGCCTCTACTCATTAACGGTATATATTGTTGCCGGTTATGTAATATACATACATGTAATATACATATATCTTTACCATGTAGTTTAGCATGAGCTTGCTACATGCTGTACCTGATAAATCAATGTGGCAGACGAGTCGCTGCCCGGCAAAGCTGTAGCTGGAGGCCTGCTCCATGTTCGTTTGCTAATGACACAAATTGTCCACTTCGCATGGCCGGCAGTTATTGACGACTTAATTATGCTGATGAATGCATTTTTGCAATTGAAATGTGCTGTGTGCAAA